TATTATAATATAATATAGTTATAATTTTTAATTATATTATAACTGAAATATTAATATTTTTTATGTATTATTATAATATGTTTTATAATATTGTAATTATATTATAATCGTTATTTTAAGTATTTCAGTTATTATTTTAATAATATTATTATATTGTATATCATAATATAATATATTATATAATAATAGTTTTTTTATTATATTAAATATAATAATAAATATATATTATATTATAATTATATATATATATATATATATTATATTATAGTATAATATAATATAGTCATAATTTTTAACTATCTATGACAATTCAACCTCATAATTTACCAAACGTTATTACACTGATTTTGGAACCAACATAACTATTATAATTATAGTTTATCAAACACTCAGTTCCTTTTTGTAACAGCTAGTTTTTCTTTCAGCAGAGCTAACAATAATTTTTCTAAAATCTATAGCAATACCAAACTAAGCCAAAGAACAATGGAGATCAGCAGGGTGGTAGAAGAGCCTCGATGATTAGGGAATGACTTCATCATTTAGACCATCGCCAATGTAAATGTTAATGCCAATTATATTTAGCATTAAAAGGTACGATATGATATGTTATTTTCATTTTTGCTCCAATACATAATGTTATTTAAAATATTAATTCTACTTTTTCCTATAATCATTAAACTTTAAAATTTGTAAAAGTAAACTTTTATTTATATGATATTTAAAAAATACAAAAGTTGTAATGATAACATGAAAAAGTAAATATTTTAACTACTAGCAATCAAATGCCAGATTTTTTACATGCTATACTTAATGCGAAATTTACCACAAAATATAATATATGAGAAATTTAACACAACAAATAACATTGTATTGAATATATTTAAAATTTAACACAACAATAAAAGTAAAATTTTATTTTTAAGATATTTGAAAAAGGTTAAAGTTGTAAAATTACAAGAAAAGTAAATATTTCAACTACTAACAATTAAATGTCAAATTTCTCACATGCTATACTTGATGAGAAATTTACCACAAAATATGTCATATGAGAAAATTAATACAACAAATAATATTGTATTATAAAGTATTTTTCACACTCAAATACTAAATTTACAATTATCACATTAATTATAGCATTATATTAAATATGCTTTTAGCCCATGTAACGTCAAAATATGACACTTATACAAAGTCAAAAGTGTGTATTATCCATCTCCTGTAAAAAACAAACGCCACATACCAAATAATAAAATGTATGCGGTAGTAAATCTCATGGTAACTTTCAGAATCAAAGCTACGGTACATTTAAAAAATCAACCATTCGATGGTGAAAAACAATTGAACCAAAAAAAAAAAAAAAGCGCTTAGATGGTCTTTAAAAAAAAAAAAAAAAAAAAAGCAATTAGAGATCGTTGCTTTCAAGTTAATGATTAAAATTTGAACTTCATGGTATATTCCAAATTTATAGTACGTAACTCACTTTTCACGCAACTTTAATAGGAGACTATTACACAAAATTTAGCATAAAAAATGTATTATGACAATTTTGTTTGATTTAACAATGATTGGTGATAAAGCAATGGCTAATTACTAAGCAAAACAAGAGTAAAGCAGATCACGCACTCGATACCTAAACATAACAAGAGCCCATATAACATCAAGTCTGAGGCCCATCAAGCCCAAAAGCGTATCGCGCCAATCTTTTGTCCCGAATTAAGGTTGAAATTGGTAGGACTCTATAAACCATAAGTCTTTAAGGTGTATTTTGGTAAGATAGAGGATTGGTAGGAGGAAACGCGATTGAGATCCTTTCCCCCCATTAAAAAAAAAAAAAAAAAAGTGATTGAGAGGATTGGTGGAGAGATTCCAAGTCGATTGAGATATCAAAAACTCAATTCCTCCATTAATGGAATGATTGGAATAGTGATTAGTAAACAATCATCACCTTTTACTTTAGATTGTTGTATTGTGTGATGCTAATTAATATGTATAGATTTCATTTTTAAAAAAAAAATACTAATATCTATAGCTTTCTTTTTTCTTAAAAAATGATTTGAACTCAGACTTAATACACCTCTTTTTTTTAAAAAAAAAACTAATATATATATATATATATATTTATAGCTTTCCAACCAATCACCTTATACACAGATTTTTATGGTATTTTTCAAGCAAGCCATGATACTTATCATTTTTGAATAATTTTACTATTACCATAATCTACCCAGAAAGACGTGGTTTTTTCCCTTGCATATTAACTACTAAACAATATTAGATTGCATTATTTTCTCACTGCATGATAAAAGACAGATTAAGTTGGTTATGCGGTCTTACATATAGATATATATAAACAGTACTCGAAGAAAAATATTTAGGCCCTGTTCATTTAATCGATTCGAGTTTTAAATTCGAGTTTTGCTACAGTAAAAAACTTTCATAAATAGTCACATCTAACATTTTTTAGCTACAGTAAAAAATTCTCACATAAAGTTACATCTCAACTAGAATTAAAAACTCGAATAAGCGAACTAAACAGACCCTAAATCTTAATAAATTACATGTTCAGCCCCCCTCAATTAGCTAACAATTAATTCCCATCTTTTGCTAATCTAACAAATTGTACACGTAAGCCCTCTTCTAAGCATGCTTAATAAATAATAACAAGCAACATTAATTGCTTCAAAAAGGAGTCCACTCACTGACTTTCAACTGAGCCTATCCATGTGAATGAATACACATCTTATCTCTCTGTTCCTCCTGCAGTATACAACTAAGTACACATATAATTTTGGCCCTATTTTCGCCCAAACTCCAAAATCCCTATTGACCGTTGCGTTGCACTGTATGATTTAATACATTGGCCCACTACTACAAAGTATCTAAAAAAAAAATAAACTTCAAAAAGTTCATGTTTTCAATTGTTTAGAATCGCATTAAAAACTATCAGTTATGTATATTTTTTTAATTTGATTTGATCTTTACTAAATTTAATAATTAAAAACTAACTCTACCAATAGGAAAACTCTATTTTTCTTTTTCTGGTTTTTATTTATTTGTATCACAACGATCATTTTTTTTTCTAGCTAGAATATTTCATATATACATTTTTTTTTTGGCTGGAAAAGGATTCATTATCCATAAATCCTTTCACTCTTTTCCCCCCACAAAGTT